AGAATGGAAGGGAGCAAGGAAAGCCTGGTGGGCTGGGAGTTGGGTCTCCAGCACCTCAGTCCTTCTCAGACCTGTCTCAGATCTGTTTTCTGATTAGGATCCTTTTCTTTCCCAGGATTCTTCTCTAGACCATCATTACAAGTACGACCAAGCACCATGGTAGCTGTAGGGGAGACAGTGACCCTTGTGTGCCAGGAGTTAATAAACAGTAGTTTTTCTAAATTGGCATTCTTTCTGCTGAAGGCTGGGATGCCAGCCCCATTACAGCACCAGAGTCCAGAGGGGAAGATGGCCAGCTTCACTCTCCCATCTGTGAAGGCTGAGGATGCTGGAAACTACAGCTGTGTTTACTCAGACAAGGCCAATAAGAGAGCATCAGATCCCAGTGATGTCCTAATGTTGGAGGTGACAGGTGAGAGGAGGCACATGGGAGTACACCTACCACCCTGTCCCCCATACATGGGGCTATGGGGATCATAGGTAATAATGGCAATGTTAATAGCTAACATTCATATGGTGCCTGCCAGGCAGTGTGCCTAGGGCTTTCCAAATATTGTCTCAATTTATTTTCACAACCCTGGGAGGTAGGTGCTATTATCATCCCCATTGTATTGTTGGGAAAGCTGAGATAAACAGAAGCTAAATGATTTGCCTAAGATCACACAGCTAGTAAGTGACTAAGGCTGGATTTGAACTCAGGTCTTCCTGACATCAAGCCCCGCAGTCTATACACTGAGCCACCTTGCTGCCCGATGGATGGAGATGAGGGTGTAGGGCTTTAACTTCAGGAATCCCCCATCCATTCTCTGTGACTTCTATGTCTCCATCAATGGTTTTCAAGTAAAAAAACTGCATGTCCTCAAAAAAAAGGTAAGAAGTGACAGACATTCCAGAGACAGGCCATGTCTCCTCATCTCCCTGGGTTCAAGAGCAGCCTTCATTCCAGCCTGTCGGAGGATGGTGTTGAGGGATAGGAGGATGGATGGGGGTGATCAGAGGGATACAGTGGGAGCAGTTTCTGTTTGGAGGTTTCCAGTCATCGGAGCATCTTCCCTGGGCAATAGGTACTATTATTATGGCCATTTTATAGTTGGGAAAACTGAGGCAAACAAAAGTTAAGTGACTTGCCCAAGATCACACAGCTAGTTATGTGACTGAGAATGGATATGAACTCAGGTCTCTCTGACACCAGACCCCACACTCTATGCACTGAGCCACCTAGCTGCCCCAGTGGATGAAAATCTCCAAACGAAAACTAGGTGAACAAAACAGAAGGGAAATTTGTTCAAGAGCAGCCCAGGATAGAGGTCTCTGAGGTCCCTGCCATACAGATTGTGGACACAGAGCCAGGCTGGGGGTAGAGTCTGACTACCATGCTAGGGGCTTGGGTTGATGTTTGGAAAGGTCACCATCACTCAGTCTCTTTCCTTGTCCTCAACCTCAGATTACACCGCGGGCAACCTTATCCGCCTCAGCCTGGCAGGGCTGGTCCTCCTCATCCTGGGAGTCCTACTGGCAGAGGCCTGGCACAGCCAAAGAGGCTCCTGAAAGCAGCACCAGGAATGCTCTGCCAGAAGGCAGGGGCTGGCCAGGCAGGAAAGCAGAGCCCGGGTCAAAGGACTCTGGGTAATCCAGCCTCTGAGGAAACAAGCGTATGAACTTGCAAATGAAGGGAGATCCACATCAGTGCTCTGTTCTTCCAGAGGCCCCCACTGCCTCCTAGGCATTTCTGGCGTGCTAACTTTGCGTGTTCCATGGCTCTCCCCAGCCCATTACGCTGGCTACCCATGTTCTCACCTGTACCAGAAAAGCTTTCACAACACCTCCTAGTGAATAAAGGGAAACTATTTCTCACCCCGGCTGCCTTCTAGAGAATGACAGTTGCGTCAGGGCCTGCATCTTCCCTGGTTGATATGGTAGAGAACAGAGTTCCAGCTAGGGTGGGTCATCAAGCCTAAAGACATCTGGTAAAGTGGGTAGAATGCTGAGCCTGGAGTCAGGAAGACACGAGTTCGAATCCTGACTCTGACACTTACTGTCTGTGTGGCCCTGGGTAAGTCATTTAATCTCTGCCTCAGTTTTCCCAGTTGTAAAATAGGAATAAAATTAGCACCCACCTCTCAGCATTGTTCTGAAAATCAACGAGATAATATCTAGAATGAGCTTAGCACAGTCACTGGCACATCATAAACACGCTATCAATATTTCCTTCCTTCCTCCTGTTATCTGGGTTTTTTCTCAAGGCACTGACATGGAGCTAAGTGGGCTTCCTCCCAGGGCACCTCCCTTGGAGATCCCCAGGGCCTCAATAACAGGCATCATGGACCCTCATTCCATAGGCTCAGGGAGAAGACAAACCCTAGAAAACAGAAGGCATGGGGGCTAGGCTGCCCCCCAAGCCAGGGTGCTAACAACCATAGCTACCTATTCTCTAAGCACATCACCAGATGCCCCCCACCCACCACCCTTTGGACCCATACTATGGATTATTGCTGCCTTCCCCCACAAAGTCTGTCTTCAGTGCTGCCTCTGTCCTCCTAAAACAGTGAAAAGATTCCCTGGTACAAAGCCCTGCCTTCCCCATAAGCCCCCTAAAGCACATAGGATGAATAGTATTATCCTTATTTTACAGATGAGGAAACTGAGACTCAGGGAAAGAAAGTGATTTACCCAAGGTCACCCAGATAATATGTAATAAGGCTTAGAAGCAATAGAGAACTGTAGAAGTTTATTGTATGAGGGAGGGATGTCGTCCAATCTACACTTAAGGAAAATTCCTTGTGAGGAGCGAGGAGAGACTTGAGGCAGAGCCCCCTTTGAGGGCCATTGCTACAGTCCAGGATAGAAGCGATGAGGCCATGCTGAGTGGGGGTGGAAGAAAGAGCAAACACATGGTAGAGGACATTGTGCTGATAGAAATGGCCAGGTTTGACGCCTGCTTGGACGTGGAACTGAGGGAGAGAGAGGAGGCAGGAAACTTGCAGAAGTCACAAACCCGGGAGACGGGCGGAACTGATGGCCCCCTTGGCGGCACCGGGGAGATTGGATAGAAGAGCCTGGCTCCACTCCAGGGCACACGGTGCCCTCCCAGAAGCAGCCCATCTCTCCTCAACGCATCCCCACACTGCCCACTCAAGCCTTGACGGATGCCCCCTCCCCCAGCCCCTGCTCCCCTCCAAGTGGCAGGCTGGAAGGCAGAGCCCCAAACTCCTCCCGTGCCTTCCTTCCTTTCTTCATAGAGGGCAGGAACGGGGCTCTGAGATCAGGCCACTCCACATCAGCTACCCTGCCTGGCTTCAGCTCCACAGAACAAGATGCCCCCGCACCGGGGGAGGGGAGGGATTTTGGGTCTGATTAAGGGTCACTTGATTTAAGGGGAACTGAGCTCCCTCGGGGCTCCCAGAGGTGGAGGTGAAGGAGCGAGCTGAAAGCCCGTCCACGGCCTCAAAAACAGGGGAAAGAAGACCGTGTCACTGCAACAGCGCTCATGAGACAGAGCAGCGTGGAATCATCCTGCGCAGGCACGAATTAATAAACCATGCAGCATTTGAGCGCCTCCTTTGCGGCAGGCTTGTGCTGAGGTCCTGGGTACTAACGGGTGAGGGGAAAGAGCTCTCTAGCCAAGAGAGGCAGTAGGTAGGCTGGAGCTCCATTTAGAAGGGCTGTCGGTACTGTACGTAGTAGTTTCTATTCTATTTTAGTCGGTTGTTGGCCTTCATGCTCGAAGAGGACCAAAGCACGATGTTGGGGTCAAGGCCCGGTGTGTCCAGCTGTGGCGATCACACCAATATGAGCTCAGAAGGCTCTACCACAGGTCAAGCACAAATGGTCCACGTGAACATTTGGGGTGGAGATGACTCTAAATTTGTGCATCTCCCGTTTCTTTTGAGCTACGGCAATTCTGCTTTGCTCACAGAGCACAGCGCCTTATTTGATAAGAGCACGCCATGATGAGCATCCTATGCCAGTATCTCCCATGGGAGACATTTCATCTTAAAGGCAGTGGAGATGCCCCAAAGCTTCTCGAGTAGAGGGGTGACATGGTCACAACTGTGCTCTAGGAAAATCAGTTTCCCACTGTGTGAAAAGTGAATTGGAGAAGGGACAGACTGGATACAAGGGCATCTGGATACAGGAGGCTCTTGCAGTAGTCCAGGAGAGAAGGGATGGGATCTCGGGCTTAGGGTGGGTTGGGAGGTGAATCAAGAAAAGAGGGTGAGTGCGAAGGGCTTAGCAAATGCAATCAACAAGACCACAGGGTGCATGGAGACGGAGAGGGGGGAGGGAGTGAGAGGTCAGAGCTGAGTGACCCCAGAGCTGCCAAAATGAGTGAGGGTGGTGCCCTCAGCAGAAATTCAGAGGTTTGGGAGGGTTGGGTGTAGGTGGAGAGAAGATGGATTCTGTTTGGGCAGATTAAGTTTGAAACATTTCTGGGACCTCCAGGTAGAGATATCAAGTAGGCAGCTGGAAATGTGGGACTGTGCCTCAGGAGATGGATGGGGACTGGGCATGCAGCTCTAAAAACTATCAGAAATTACTTGAATCCTGGTGAGATCACCAGGAGAGAGAGTGCAGGGAGAGAGGAGGAGAAAGCCCAGGACAGTCTTAGGGTCACAACTGGCAGAGGGTGGGGGACAAAGATGATGGCAGCATGCAAAGGAGAATGAAAATCCCAACCCAATGGGCAGGAACAGAACCACAACAGAATGGCATCATGAAAACCCGGGGATACAGGAGTCTGCCAAAGGAGGCGTTGGCCAAGAATTCCAGGGAATTAGAGCGAGGGGAAGTCACTGGGTTTGCCAATAAAAAGACCACAGATCAGCTTGGAGAGAGAAGGTTCAGTGGAGTGTTGGGAACCAAAGCCAGGGCTCAGGAACCGAGAAGTGAGAGGTGAGGCGGTGAGAAAGGGGAGACAGCTTTTTTTCTAGGAGTTTGGCTATAGAAGGGTGTGGAGATATGGGATAATCATTTGAGGATATGCTAGGGCCTTGGGGGTGGGGGGTGGGGTCTAAGAATGGGAAGGATCCGGGGACAGAGGGGATGAAACTAGCCAGCAAAGAGAGGTTGAATATGAGGGAGGAAATCCAGCCCCAGACATTTAACACTTACTAGCTGTGTGACCCTGGGCAAGTCACTTAACCCCAATTGCCTCACCAAAAAGCAAAAAAAAAAAAAAAAAAATGAGGGAGGGAGGGAAGATCAAAGGGTCAAGCTTCTGGGCAGCATAGGACAGGATGGAATAGAGTAAAAGTGGCAGGTGGGATTCGGGCCAGGGCAAGGACCACCTCATCCCCTGAGCGTGGACCAAAGGAGAGAAGGAAGAGGGACTGAGAAGGAGGAGTGAGGCTGTGGGATTGGCAAGGGGAGGGAGGTATAACAGATGGCCTCCGTTTTATTGTCCGAACCAAGGTCCTCAGAACAATGGTGATTTCCCACATCCTTGGCCCTCACCATCAGTAGGACTAAGTCCATCCACCTGGGCCTCTACCACACTCTGCTGCTAGAAGGGTGTCAGGACCTCGAGCAACTCAGGACTTCAGCAGTACAAAGTTCCCCCACTGGAAGGGAGAGCCACACCTGCCTGTGGTGGCACCACCAATCTGCTCAAGGCATGGGCACTGGGCTTGGGGAGGGGTCCTAGGAAAGAGGGAGGTGTCCCATGGCTTCCCACTGCACCCCAGGCTAAATGGGAGGGAGGGGCGAAATGGCAGCTGAGCATCTGATCTCACTTCCCATTTGGAGCAGCTCACCCTGATTTGCATACCAGCCCACCGGTCCCCACCACCTCTCAGATGCCACAGAAGCAGCTTCCTGTCTCAATCACCCAGAATCCCCTCCAGGCTTCCGGAGTCCTGGCTCACAGGAGCAAGCCACTGGTCTCCGAGAGGACCTTGTGTCAGGGAGAGCACTGGACCCAGGGTCATTCTCTGGCATTCTCTATGACCTTTAGACACATGATCCAAGAGCTGCTGGCTCTTGCTCGCCTTGGGGACAAGGCCATGCACAGCCTTTGTCTTAGCAGTGACACAGATGCATTTTCAGGAATGCTTAGCCCACACTGACATGAGGACGGCTGACCTGGATGGTGACCCAGTCCTGGTGTTTTGAGGGCTCCCGGATCGCTTTCTTAAGTGCAATGAGTGCCATGTTTCTGAAGGATGACTGGCACCAGGGGATTACCTCCCACCCTGAACCGCCCCCGGGCTGGTTTGGGTCATAAGAGTGGGTCAAGGATGTGGGCAGAGAAGAAGGCAGGAAGCTCCCTACTGAGACTTCCCTGAGATAGACTTGGGGAGATTATGGAAACCGAAAAATAGGCCAGAACTCTCCATGGTCCTCCCTGAGGGACCCAGAAGCTTTCTGCCCCTGGATTCTCCTCTCCCCATTCCGATTTCATCTGCTTTGTCTATCTCTGGTCCACTGGACCTAGTCATTTACACATTGTCTCCCTCATTAGAACGTGAGCCCTTTGGGGACAGGGGCTATGTCTTCTGTATCCTCAGCACTTGGCACAGTGCCCAGCTCATAATAGGTGTTTAAGAAATACTTACATCCGGCCTCAGACCAAACACTTGACACTTACTAGCTGTGTGACCCTGGACAAGTCACTCAACCCCAATTGCGTAAAACAAAAAAAAAAAAAACAAAAAAAAACAAAAAACAAAAAACAAAAAAAAATAAAAATAAAAAAAAGAAATATTTACTAAGGGGCAGCTAGGTGGTGCAGTGGATAGAGCTCTGGCCTTGGAGTCAGGAGGAACTGAGTTCAAGTCTGACCTCAGACGCATGGCATTTACTAGCTGTGAGACCCCTGGGCAAGTCACTTAACCCCAATTGCCTCACCAAAAAGGTAAAAAAAAAACAACAACAACAAAATTCAAATCCAGCCTCAGACACATAATACTCACTAGCTGTGTGACTCTGGGCAAGTCACTTAACCCCAATTGCCTCACCAAAAAAGAAAAAGAAAGAAAGAAATACTTACTGAGGGGCAGCTAGGTGGTGCAGCAGATAGAGCTCTGGCCTTGGAGTCAGGAGGACTTGAGAGAGAGACACAGCTGACAGAGATAATGAGGATGATTCTGGACTTTGGGAACAGGAGAGATGACCTGCTCCCAGGCTCACTCGTCCCCTAGGGCAGCCTCACCTTACTCCAGCCACCCTGCACTTGCCCTCCCATTAGCATCTCCCTCCTCCGATAGACTGTAATAAGGCCAACTCTTGAACCCAGGCAAGTGAAGAGGCATGGTTTCCTATGCCTGAGAACCTGGACTCCCCCTTTCTCTCATCTGTTCCAGGTTTGTCTTTTGTACCTGGAACCCAGGTCTCCACCCATGGTCCCAATACCACCACATCACTGATTGGGGGAGGGTTAGAAAAAAAAGTCTGTTGTCTGGTATGGTACATCATTCAGTCATTTCAGTTGTCTGACTCGTCTGGACCCCACTTGGGGTTTTCTTGGCAGAGATATCAGAGTGGTTTGCCATTTCCTTATAAAGCTCATTTTACAAATGAGGAAACTGAGGCAAACAGGGTCAAGGGGCTTTCCCAGCTAGTAAGTGTATGAGGCTGGATTTGAACTCAAGTCCTGCTGATTCCAAGGCACTCTATCCACTGCACCACCTAGTTGCCCTGTTATGGTATCTGTGGATACTAAAGATCCAGAGGGAATTCCTTGGGCTTACTTCCCCTGTGCCGGAGATAGAAGGGGTAGGGATGTGTCCCCTGTCTCTACAGGGTCCTCCAGGTCCCTCCATGTCCCCTAACCTTGCACTAGGAACTCCAGAAGGTCACTGGGCAGTGCCTGGACAAGGCTGTCTGGGCCCCGGTGAGAGCGGCAGCTGTAATGCCCTGTGCTCAAAAAGGAACTCATCCCCATCCCGGGAGGGCTCCCTTGTCCCCAAAGGTCTCTCCTCTCCTGCCTTGTAAGCAGTGAACTTCACACCCCAGGCTGGCCCCAGGCACAGGGGGGTCACAATCCTTCTGAGACCACCAAGACGCTAAGCCTGACTGAGGGGAGGAGCTTGGGCAAGGCATCTGGAAGCCAAAGACCAGAGCAGTTATGAGGGCCCCTGTGAAGGAACCAGGGTATGACGTTCTGGGAAAGGGCAACCCCAGAGGGGAAGATGCTAAAACCCCACCTTCCCCTCCTAACAGGAGGGGTGGGAGCCTCCCTCCAGACAATCCCCTGAACAGACCCCATGGAACTTCAGCAAAGATGCCCCCTATATCCCACTCCTGAGACCCCTGGACAGCCCCAGCTTCTCACATCATCCCCTCCCAAACTCTCCTGTCCCCATCTCAGCCCAGGGTCCTGGGTCCACTGCTCTGCACCCAGGCCTTGTGCCCCCACTCTCACCGGCCACCTGGATCCGTAGGGCTTCACCGGGCTCAGCCCTTGTCCTGCTCTGTTCTGCTGAAGTCAATGCAGCTGGAGTTGCCGGAGTCCTCAGCTCTCATTGGCTGGAGGTGGAAGGCAGCCTGTTTCCTTGCTGGGGTCCTTTGGGGCCCCTGAGTAGTGACTGGAGAGCCACCTCCCCCTGGGGCTGCCACAGGGCTCGGCAGAGCTGAGAGAGAAGGTTTGAGGGGAATCCTTGGAGAGAAGGGGACACCTGAGGCACGCGACTGAAGCCCTTCCAGGACTACAATACTCCAGTTCTAGCAGCAAGATTGGGCCTCAGCCAAGGGCCTGTCCTCACCCCGTCTTGGGGAGTCTGTCCTGAAAGGTGATATTTTCTCCTCCCTGAGAATCCAAGCTTCATCCCTGGCCTGGGGTCTGTCCTCTTCCTAATGTGAATGAAGGGTCCGCTGGCATCTCCTCCTATGCTCCTGAGTCCCAGAAACAGACCCCACGATGCTGTTACGCTCCCTGTCCTGGGACTGCAGTTTGCATCTCTCCCAGAGTTATTCCCGGAGGTCCCCGTCACTTGTCACCACCAGCTCCGGAGCCTTGCTAAGGTCTGATGCTCTGTTTGGATTCTCCTCAGACTCAATGCAGCCATCACATCCCCTATCCTGGGCCTTCCGGACAGGAGAAGGAAGCTGGCCTGGGTCCTTGCTGGCCTCTGGGGCTACAAGGGGGCTGGGGTCCCAGGCTTCTGCAGGAAGAATGTTACTTCCCTGGGAAGTGATGACATCATGGCCAAGAGGGTCTCATTCTCCCCTAGAGCCACCATGGCATTGGGCTGGCATATGAGGAGGGCTTGGAGAAGACACCCAGGGGAAAAGGTGACCCGAGAGTAAAAGAAGGGATTTCCAGTCTCCCACGTGCCTTGATCCAGATCTGAGAGGGTGATGACGCTGCCCCCTGTGAGATGCCAGTCTTGGGCCTTCAGGCCTTCAGGACCCTTACTGTCCTCATCTCCTATCTCCGTGCCTAGCACAGAGCCCCACACGGTCAAACTGAACTACCCCAATGGAGCAAGGTTCTCACCGATGGAGACCTCCCAGGATGCTGATCGCAACCTGCTCTGCCTAGACGACACTCACCCACGTCCTCCCATAGGCTCATACTAGGATGCCACCTGCCCAATGTCCTAGGAGCCTCTGAATGGTACCAGCCTGGCACTCATGGGGTGTATAGATGTATGATCAATTGAATGGAATTCCCTGCTCCCAGGACCTGGCATTCTGGGAGAATTGCATGAACTAAGCACTTCACAAACCTTTATTTAGCACTTGTTGTGTGCACTTCACAAACATTTATTTACCTCTTACTGTATGCACTTCACAAACCTTTATTTAGCACTTACTGTGTGCAGGTCAGTGAAGGAGACAAATTTAGACAAGACTTTGTGCCTGCCCTCAGGGTGTTCACAGTCTAGTAGGGCAGTTGTGACCCAAGAGATATGATCACAAGAGTGACAGCTGGAAGAAACTTCAGGAATCAATCTGCCCTGATCCCTCCCACCAGAAGAGATAAGGAAATACCAGAGATATGACCACAAGTCTTACTCGTGGAGTCTTTATTTGGGTTCAGGGAGTATAGTGTGACTCAGTGTACTAAATAAGCAAATATTCCTTCTGTACAGTTCACATGTGGAGGTGATTATTTCTACAATGCGCAGAGATGCCATCAGGATGGATAAACTGCCCGTACATGTAAGCATGAGCCTGAATCCTGGGATCCTTCGGGTCCCTGCCAGTGGGCACTCAGGGTGGGAGAAGGGGCATGGCTCCAAGAGGACCCAGGTGAAGCTGGTGGAGGATGGAGGAAAGGCTTCTATGCTAATGATTCTCAAATCTACGTTCCCTGCCCCAGCATCTCTGCTGACTTCTAATCTCACATCTCCAACTGTCATTCAGACATCTTGAACTGGCTGTCCAGTAGACATCCTAAACTCAAAATGTCCCAAATGGAACCATTGTCTTTCCCCCGAAACCCTCCTCACCGCTCCCAATTTCCCTGTTATAGTCGAGGTCAACACCATCCTCCCAGTCCCTCAGGCTCCCTACCTAGGAGTCATCCAGGACTCCCCCCCCAAAATCCAATATGGTGCCCAGGCCTGTCAATTTCACTTCTGCAGCATCTCTGGTCAATTTCTCCTCTTATCTCCTGGATCCGCCCCCTTTTCTCCTCCAACACCACCACTCCCTGGTGCAGACCCTCATCCCCTCATGCACACTGGTGGGTCTGCCTGCCTCCAGCCTCTCCCCACTCCATTCATCCTCCATTCAGCCACTAAAGTGATCTTCCTAAAGTATAGATCTGACCATGTCACCCTCCCCACACATATGCTCAACGAACTCCAGTGGTTAATGTTATGGTAGCAGCTCAGGCCCAGAGCCCACAGTCTACCATCTGACACGGGTGCGATAAGGAAGTAAGGTGTAAGGTAGCAGGGAGGAGAAGGTTACATCGGATTAAGGAAACTGAGTAGTTATATCCAGACAATGATCTATTTACCTATTTATTATAGGGCGCAGCTAGTTGGCGCAGTGGATAGAGAGCTGGCCTTAGAGTCAGGAGGACCTGAGTTCAAATCCAGCCTCAGACAATTGACACTTGACACTTACTACCTGTGTGACCCTGGGCAAGTCACTTAGCCCCCAATTGCCTCATCAAAAAGAAAAAAAAAATTCACTCCTATTTATTTATTACGTTAAATACCATTTTAATTTTTTTCCAAATTACATGCAAAGACAATTTTAACATTCTTTTTTTTTGTAGCTCCAAATTTTCACCCTCTCTTGCTCCCTAAGATGGTAAGCAAGTTGATACAGGCTATATATGTGCAATCATGTAAAACATATTTCCGTATTAGTCACGGACAGGGATTTATTTAGCAATCTTGTCAAAAAAAAGGAAATGAGGTGGGTCTGGTATGACCTATGATGAAGCCAGGCTTCTTTGGAATCACTGCTTCCCTTTCTCAAAATTCCCCAATTATCTCTTTAATAATCCCTCCTAGAATAGTCCCAGAAATTGAAGTTTAGGGGCCTAGGGACAGATAGAAGGTGCCATAGTGCACAGAGCACTGGCCTGGAGTCATCTTCCTGATTCAAATCTGGCCTCAAACATTTAACTAGCTGTGTGACCCTGGTCAGGTCATTTAACCCTGTTTGCCTCAGTTTCCTCATCTGTAAAATGAACTGGAGAAGGAAAAGGCAAACTACTTCAGGATCTTTGCCAAGAAGACCCCAAATGTCACCGTCAGACATGACAGAACAAAAAGCTAAATTCTCTTTAGCTATGTTAGATAGATACTAGCGATGGGAAATACAACAGTAAAAATGGAATGGCAGAAAGGGCCAGGGAAGGAGGGCAAGAAGAGCCAGCCAGCCCAGGTCACTGGAAAATACAGCAGCAGCCAGTCCTCCACATTGGACTACAAGGGCAGGAAACCACCATTCCTTGTTTTCACATGCTTGGGAGGGGGAAGAGTAGCCCCTAGCTACAATGACACAGGAAACTGCTGTGTGGGCCCTGATGAACTGGGGTGGATCTACTGGAAGGCAAGGACTGTGTGCTCTTCCTGAGGAAAGTCCGCATCTGTGGCCCGTGAGAGTAAGCTGGGGAATGGATCGGTCCTTCTGGACCCTCCTCCCTCATCCGTCCTTTCTTTCAGATTCCCAGACCGGAATGCATCAAAGCTTCCACTGGCACCCAGTGCATGAGTCTAACAACATCGAATCACTATTCAACACCAGCGCCACCAGAATCAAAAGGAAACTCGTTGGATGCTTCACAAACCAACCCAATGAATATCACAACGTGAAGACTGAGCTACTTTCTCCCAGCAGCTCAGAACAATAGAATTAGGAGGGACCTTAGAGGTCACCTAGACAACAGAAAACCTGGTCTGAATTGGTATGGACTAGTACAGAAGGTGCCATGGGGCAGAGACTGGGAGGCCGGAGGGACAAATGGGGCCTATGTGCCAGATGTTCCCCTGGGGGCAGTGGGATGAAAGGTCTCTTGGGTTCAGTGCCCAAACTTGACACCCAGATTCATGTGTCCCAATTCCCAGCCCATCCTTCATTGCTCTTCCCTCTCTCTGAAGCTCCAGCTCCCCTTCTTGGGGTGACAGGGTCTCTACTGCCCCATCAGTGCAAAGCCAGAGTGGCATAGACGCTGGGCTCCGGGGGTGCAGACGTCGGGACTCTCTGCCCCTCGTCGAGGGCAGCTGTGTTCAGATGAGAGTAAGTCACTCCCTGGGAGTCTTCAGATTCAGAGGCCTGAAGGAAAGATGCCCCAGTGGGGGATCAGTGAATGGCATCGGGAGGAGACAAGGAAGAAATGTGGGACCAGGGAACAAGAAAGGATGAAAACCAGGAACAGAGCATTTGGTGGGAGTCACAGGGGAGACTGAAGCAGAGAACAGGAAGGACTCACCCGTGTCTCCAGCTGTCTCCCCTTGGATACGTCTTCATCTAGGACAGGGAAGGGGTTCCATAAGTCCCTGAGCTCCTGGGCCTGGTCAGCCCCCAGGACACATCCCAGATCCCTGCCCCCTTTTCACTGACCCACTTACACATTATCTCCTTGGGAGGGAGGGAGGTGAGGTAGAGAGACTGAGGGACACCTGCGCTGTCTGAGGACCTGCGAAGAGGCGAGGAGATAATTTGGTACCTGGATCCATCATGCCCTCCCAGCCAGAATCGATGAGCAATACGGGATGTCTCGAGTGGCACTGGGGAGAAGGACCTGGGGGAGTTGGCCACAGGAATGGGGGGAAGGAGCTGGGCATTCTTACCTCCTGGGAGTGTCTCCACATGAGCTCCCTGTGAGGAGAAACAGGTGGACAGACGGACAGACAGACAAAAAGCAGGATCAGTCACAGAACCATAAGACTGGGCATAGGAAAGGCCTCCCAGAGTCCATCTCACCCCACCTCCTCATACAGAAGTGCCCTCACTGAGATCCCAGCCCTCAGGCCTACTTTCATGTCTCAAGCCCCTGGGACATTCAGCCCTTCCTCTCTGAACTCACTGTGTTGGGTGTGCCGGCGGCAGAGAAAGACCAGGAGGCAGAGGAGGAAGAAGAAGATGGAGACGCAGCTGACAGTAACAATGAGGGTGATTCCGAGCTCTGAAACAGAAGAAATGGCCACTGCCAAGATTCCACTGTGCCAGGGTTAGGCCCCACTGTATCCCGCCAGCCACCCCATCTATCCTCCCTCATCACCATCCTCCCACAGGCTGGAATGAGGGCTGCTCTTGAACCCAGGGAGATGAGGAGACATGGACTGTCTCTGGAATGTCTACTGCTCCTTCTTACCTTTTCTTTGAGGATGTGCAGTCTTTTTACCTGAAAACCATTGATAGAGATATAGAAGTCACAGAGAATGGATGGGGGATTCCTGAAGTTAAAGCCCTACACCCTCATCTCCATCCATCGGGCAGCAAGGTGGCTCAGTGTATAGACTGCGGGGCTTGATGTCAGGAAGACCTGAGTTCAAATCCAGCCTTAGTCACTTACTAGCTGTGTGATCTCAGGCAATTCGCTTAACCTCTGATTACCTCAACTTTCCCAACAATACAATGGGGATGATAATAGCACCTACCTCCCAGAGTGGTTATGAGGATAAAATATTTACAGTATTTTAAGTTTATAAATTTTAAAATATTTTTTAATAATGTAAGGAGCAGAAAGAGGTAAGCCTTGGTGTTTTAAATAATTTAAAATAATTAAAAAATAAATTTACAAAATAATTTACAGTGTTTGGAAAGCCCTTAGCACACTGCCCGGTAGGCACCATATAAATGTTAGCTATTAACATTGCCATTATTACCTATGATCCCCATAGCCCCATGTATGGGGGACAGGGTGGTAGGTGTACTCCCATGTGCCTCCTCTCACCTGTCACCTCCAACATTAGGACATCACTGGGATCTGATGCTCTCTTACTGTCCTTGCCTGAGTAAACACAGCTGTAGTTTCCAGCATCCTCAGCCTTCACAGATGGGAGAGTGAAGCTGGCCATCTTCCCCTCTGGACTCTGGTGCTGTAATGGGGCCGGCACCCCAGCCTTCAGCAGAAAGAATGTCAATTTAAGAAAACCACTGCTTATTAACTCCTGGCACACAAGGGTCACTGTCTCCCCTACAGCTACCATGGTGCTTGGTCGAACTTGTAACGATGGTTTAGAGAAGAATCCTGGGAAAGAAAAGGATCCTAATCAGAAAACAGATCTGAGACAGATCTGAGAAGGACTGAGGTGCTGGAGACCCAACTCCCAGCCCACCAGGCTTCCCTTACTCCCTTCCATTCTGTACCCCCAAGTGAACCTTCTTGTCATGCCTCACCCACATCATTTCTCTGGTCTCTTGCCCTGACTGTCCCTTGTGCTGTCAGTGCTCCCCCTCTCCAGGCCTGACTCTTAGATACTCTCGCTGCCTTCAAAACTCAGCTCAAATACCCCCTCCTACAAGATAACCCCAGCTTCCCATGCCTCTTCTCCTCTCTCCACATTACTTTCTATTCATTTTGATGTCTTTTCCAATCTATTTTGTGGGTCATGTCTTGTCTCTCCCTGATGGACTAGAAGCACTTTGAAGACAGGGGTGTTCCTTTGTGTCCTCAGAACTGAGAATGGTGCTTGGCAGACAATAAGAGTGAAAATGTCGGATTTATAATAGACTCTTTAAAAGAAAACAAGCTGTACATATTAGAGTTGCATAGTTCTTTTCCTTTTCTAATTTATATCTGGAAATGTTCTTGCTTATTTGGTGTTAGTTAAATTCATAATTTTTAAAAATTAGGAAACATTCACATATAGAGAGGTAAAAAGAAGAAAGGACAAAAGGAATCATGGGAAAAACAAGGCCCCTGTCTCACCTAAAGAGGTCGCCTGCCTCTCCTTGCCAAAGTTAACATCATATCTGCATGCACAAGGGATCCCCTGTCTTCTCCACAGGTCTTCGCCTCCAGCATCCCCACTCACTCACTAATCTTTAATCCCTTCCTATTTTCTGGTTGCTTCCATGATGCCTATACACAAGGCCACATCTGAAAAAAAAAACCCTTACTTGATCTAACCATCCCCAATAGCTATCATCCTATATCTCTCCTTCACTTTCTGAGTAAACTCCATGAGAAGGCCATCTATAATCAATCCCTCTGCTTCCTCTCCTCTCATTCTCTTCTGAACTCTCTACAATCTGGCTTCCACCTCATCATTCCACCAAAAATGTTCTCCAAAGTCACCAATGATCTCTTCATTGACAAAGCTAACAGCCCAATCCTTATCCTCTTTGACTTCTCTGCAGCATTTAACACTGTTGATCACCTTCTTCTCTGTTAGACTTTCTTCTCTCTCAGTTTTTGAACCACCACTCTCTCCTTCTCTCTCTCTCTCTCTGACCATTCCTCTGTCATCTTTTCTGGATAGTTCTTCAAATCACACCTCTAACCATTGGTGTCCCCAAGGCTGTGTGTTTGTTAGTCTCTGTGGGGACTATAGGGTGGGGGCTCCCTCTTGGTAAAGAAATGTCTTCTCCCCTATTCTCCTGCCCTTACTGATGGACTAGATTCACTACACATGTATGAAGTTACTTCTGTGCATCAAGCCTCATGGTCCTAGCTGAGGGTTGAAAGCACGAAGTTTAAGTCAGACCTGTTTCTGACAAACTTCACACCATCCATCACAATACCATACTTCAAAACCCTTCTGAGTCTTTGCCTGCTTTCTCCTTTACTCTTGCTTCTTGACTCCTTGCTAAAGCTCACCTCTCCATGGGGCCCTTGATTTGATTCCCCTCCTGTCTCCTCCAAGGGATCATGCCCACAATCATCTCCCTTCCTCTCTCATGCGTAATCACTCTCTATCTCCTGGCTCCTCACCTACTACCTACAAACCTGCCCAAGATGCCTCTACCATTATTAAAACCCTTTATTTGGCCCTTCCATACACTCTGGCTATCATTCTCCATCTCCCTTCCCTCTCAGGGCCACATACCTAGAAAATGTAGTCTACTCTCTTGAAACCTTTCAGAGCCTCACCTCCCACTCAAGTCTTACCTCCTTCCATTCTGGGTCCAGATCCCACCTCTCCACTGCCACTCTTTTCTCCAAAGTTGCCATGAGTCCTTAACTGCTAAGTTGGATGTCCATTTTCCATTCCTGACTCTTCTTGGCCCCTGCAGATTGTGATACTATTGGCTACTCCTACCTCCTGGATATTGTCTGCTCTCTTGACTTCAGAATTACAGATCCTTCCTAGTTCTCCTTCCTTCAGATGTTCATTGCATCTCCCCTACATCCATCTACCCTCCTATCTTCTCCATTTTTGAGGGCACCGACATCTTGCCCATCACCCAATCTCACAATCTCAGAGTCCTCCTTGATTCTTTGCTACCACTTATGCTTTCCTTATGCCCTGGCAGTCTTCTGGCAGTCACCTTACACCACTAGACCAGAGACAATTCCTTGGAGGACTTAATTCTTTCAGCTCTGGTATTCTTGTCCTGGGGCCCCATTTTGCTGGTTGCTGAGTGACTCTCGTGGCCTAACACACTGGAGCTGGTTGCAGTCATGCTTAACGTTACATCTTAGCTATCTTCTTACCGGCCTCCTTCATGGCACATACATGTTATCCCTCTCTCACCCCACATCACGATCTTCCAGTTCTGAATCCATAATCAAATCCATACTGCCCTTTTTCCTGGAGAGAATATGTTCATCTCCCTTGTAGCTCCAGCCTCCATCTTTGTAACTTTCCCAACCCAAAGACCCTTCCATGGTCACCAGTGCCCCATATGTGTTGGCTCCTCCAACTGGAATATGTGAGCCCCTTGACGGCAGGGATTGTCTTGGATGCATCATTTTTATCCCCTATGCAGTATGGGATTTAGCCCATAATAATACTCCTGGGCTCCAGTGAGCCCAGGGCAAGGTGGGCCCTGCTTCCCAAGGCCAGAAGAGCCCAAAGACCAAGGGATTAAAAGGCCAGGTAGGGGCACCTCTTCAGCAAACCTGGGTCTGTTTGGAATATGAGGGGATAAAGTCACATCTCAGAGAGGGCCCTGGGTGTCAGCCATGAGGCTCGTGTTCCTCTCCGGGGTAGGAGAGTGCAGGGACAAAGGGACCCCAGAGGCCAAGCAAGGGTGGCCTCTCCAGCAAACCGGGGTCTTTGGGGCTATGAGGGGGGAAATGACAACCCAGGGAGGGCCCTGGGGCTGAGTGGGCAGGACCAGCCCTGCCCACCAGAGCCAGGACTTCCTGGGCCCCTCCTTACCTGTCACCACCAGCTGCAGGGGGGCACTGAACTCTGACCAGTGGAGTCCCTGCCAGTAGCGGCAGCTGTAGCTGCCTGCAGCATTTATTCTCTCTCGTTGAAGGCGGAACTCAGCCTCTTCTCTGGAGGTATTTATCTGGAGTGAGAATGCTTCATCCTTCCAAAGCTGAACACTCTTGCTTCCCTGTGGGCCCTGGCAATAGAGCCTTACCTCTGCCCCATTGGGGACCACAGAGCTGGGCACAGCCCTAATGGAGGGTCTGAGCAGTGTCCCTGGAAGGGAATCAGGGCCTGGATTTCAGAGCCCTGCCCTCCCAGGTGTTGTCCCAGCCCCCGACCCTTACTCTCCCAACCACAGGCACCCCCTTCAGCTCAGAAAAGGCACCTCCCTCCCTTCCCCCCTCTCTGCAGAATTGGCTGCCTTGGAGGTAGCGCTGAGGGGGAAGATTGGCAGGGGCACCTTGAGGGGAAGGACTCACCCTCTGGAGCTGTGATCTTCTGGCTCAGACACAGCCCTGAAGGAGAGGCTCAGGTTACAGGCGATCCTGCCCCTGCCCCAGCAGCTCCACCTCTGTACCCCCCCACCCCATCAACTCACTGTGGATCAAACACACAGCAAGGGGTAGGCACTAGTGCACTTTTCTGTGCAGGCAGCCTCTCCCCAGCCTCAGTGTCCCCATCTGTCCCATGTAGCCCCTGTCCAAGGACCTTCTCAGAGTCTTCCTCCCCTCCAGCCCAGCCTGGGGCCCTTGGCACTCACCCAGGCACAGAAGAGAAGTGACTCTGGGGGCCATGCTGGCCCCTCAGCCCTGATCTAAGCTGCCTGGCCAAAGGGTCATGAAGAAAGGAGAAGGAGGAAGTGAGACTGCCTCTGGGCCCTGTGCCTCCCGTGATCCAAGCTGCAGGATGTGATCACAACAGTTGTCAGTCACACCCCCAGCTCCAGGGCCTGTGGTCTGTCCAGGGAAATTGGGGAGATGGGGGCATCTGGCCCTTCTGGGAAGCTCTCTAGGCTTTCTCTTGCAGCATCCATCCCGCCTTCCCCTCTCCTTAGCCTTGCCCCTCTCATCCTTTTTCCCTTTTCCTCTTCTTCCCCCCTAGAAACATTCTTTCTCACCTTCCTGGGCCCACCTTGCCCTCCCCTGCTGGCCCCTCCCCCTTCTCAGAGTGATGTTGGGGGGGAGAGGGGGCACGGCAGAGAGCAAGGAACCTGCCTAGTTCCCCCCCATCCCCACCCAGTGTAGGGGGGAGCAGAGGTTTGCCCAGTAGTGAAGAGGATGCCAAGGGGACCAGCGTGGTCAAGAGACAAGCCACGTTTCTGGGGCATCAGGAGATGGAAGGCATGTGAAGGAAGAAGCTGGAGAGGATGAGGAATTAATTGAACACTGAAGGAGGCACCGTGGGGGGACAGGGCTGGGAGCTGGCATCCAAGCCGTCTACAACACCGAGTCACAGGGACAGTCAGAGTCACGCCATCGTCATTCTCAGTTCTTATCCCCTCTTCCACTGGCCACGGTCATTTTGATTTGATGTGGATTCTCTTCTTTCTAACGTTCTCTCTCTTGGCTTCTCAAATCAACACATTCAAAACAAAACCAAGCAGAGCCAGGCTCCTGGTCATTCTCTGTCCCCCTCCTCTTTGGTGTCCAGTTTCTACTGCAAGCCCCTCTCCTTCCAGGCCACCAGGTCCAGAAGCTTGGAGGCACCCTCAGCTTCCCCCTATACCCCATCAGTCCCTAACACTTGTTCTCCCCACTCCATGGACATCTCTCACCTCCCTCCCTTCCTCTCAACTCACATGACCATGGCCTCAGGGAGCAGCTCATTACCTCTCACCAGGACTAGGGCAAAAGCCTCCTCCTGACCTTTCCACATCCAGCCTCTCTGCTCTCCAGTCCACCTTCACACACTGCCCAATGGGAATTCTTAAGGCATAGCTCTGACAAGTTCTGCTCCCCCTCAAGAACTTCCAGTCACTCCCCATTGCCTTTAAGATGAAAGACAAAGTCCTGTGGTTGGAATGTAAAGCCCTCCAAAATCTGTCCTGAGTCTATCTTTCTGGGCTGATTCCACAGAACTTCTCCCCCTCCCACACTTCACAGCCCCTTTGCAATGCCTCACATACCACACTGCCTCTCTGCCTCCCTATGGATGCACAGGAGAGTGCAGGGTTGGAAGGGGTGAGGAGGAGCCATGCTGTGATTCACAGAGGGTCTATGTGAGGATGGAAAACAGGATGAGGTCGGCTAGAAGAGTGGGGTGGAGATGGCGGCCTCCAGGAGAACTAAACTCAGAACTGAAATAACTTTAAAGAAAAGTGTCATGAATTCATCCAGCAGAAGGGCGAGCTGGAAAGGGGGCGGCCCCCTCCACCGAGTGTCATAGCTGACACGTTTTATGGAACTCAAAAAGAGGCATGAGGATGCAGGGTCTGCCTGGCCAGCCCAGAGGCAGTTTGCAGACCCCACGTGTGGGCTGCTGAGGTAGATAACAGGAGAAAACTCCTTGCATTCCTTGCATCGGTCTTTGGATCTGAATGGGCTTCTGGTCAGCGTAACTGGGGCCTGAGTTAAGCATTGAACAATTACACAAATCAAACTAAATTAAACAAATTTAGTTTCTAAGAAATAGGTCAGGATTCTTAGCCACACAGGGCTAGGTCCACAGAACACCACAACATTTTCCCACAAGACATCCCCTCCTGCCTGAAGAAGAAGGTCCTGGTGAGTCCAGTGAGAAACTTGTTTCTGTTAGTGAGGAATTCTTAGGGTCCCTTGGGAAAGAGGAAAGAAAGTTACAGTCAGAAAGTAGGTATTAAATATCTACTATGTGCCAGGCACTGTGCTAAATGCCTGGGATACAAAGAAAGTCAAAAGACAAAGCTTGCCCTCAAGAAGCTCCCAGTCTGATGGGGGAGACAGCGTGAAAACAGCCATGTAGAAAGGCAGATATAGAAAGGGGTAACTGGAGATCATCAGTGGAGGGAAGGCTGTGGAATTAAGAGAGATCAGAAAGTGCTTCTTGTGGAAAAGGAGGGGATTTTAGCTGGGAGCTGAAGGAAGCCAAAGGCCTTCTAGGCATGGTGGACATCCCAGGAAAGCACCCAGAGTCAGGAGATGGGGCCTCTTAGACAGGAAACAGCAAGAAGGCCAGCATCACTGGATCATAGTCTATAAAGACTTATTAATAGTCAACAAATATTTATAGAGAGCCTACTGCCTGCCAGGCACGGTGCTAAGCACAATGGTGATACAAATACAAGAAAAGAAACAGTCCCTGCCTTCGTGGAGTTTACAATCTAACGGGGAAAGACACAACACAAAAGGAGGCTGAAATGCCAGTGGGGAGAGGAAGGGAGGAAGTATCTGGCACAGGGATGTGGTGAAGTCAAAGAAATCCAGAATAAGTACAACTGGATGAGAAATGCCAGATGTAGGAGGTCTCTCCCACCTCCCCTCTTTAAATGGAGGTTGAGGTCATGACTCCACCCCCAAATCAGGTGGGTAGAGGAGGCTAATGGGACTTGGCTGAGGGGGAGGGATGGGTTTTAAGGTGTGAGGAGACTAGACACTGGGGTGGGGGGGGCGGTTGGGAAAGGCTTTGAAAGCCAAACAGAGGACTTTATATTTGATTCTGGAGATGACTGAGAGCCCCTGGAGTTTATTGAATAAGGTCACTGATGTAGGAAGTGACTTTCTAATACCAATACAGAGCAGGACTCCTCTGATCCAGAGACGTGACTCTTGTATGGCCAAGGTAATGGGACCTTGGGCTGCATTAAGAGGGACCTGGCTTTTAGCAACAGGGAGGGGATCATCTCACCGCATGTCTCCTGGATCCCACTTATTTGGACCATTATTATGTACAATTCTGGGTACCACAATTTAAGGAAGAATATTAACCATCTGGAGGAGGGCAAGGAGGATAGCGAAGGGCTTTAGGTCCAGGTCATATTAAGATCAGTTTAAGTAACTGGGAATATCTGGCCAGGAGAAGAGAAGGCTCAAAGGGTGGGGGATGGGAGGGATGAGAGCTGTATTTAAAGGGCTGTCACAGGGAACGAGCATTAGCTGTGCCAAACAGGCACTGGAGACAGAACCAGGTTGCCAAGAGATAAATTTGGGCTTGATGTCAGAAGAAACTCCTCACCGTGAGAGCTGTCCAAAAGTGTTACTGGGCTGCCTCAAAAGGAGGTGGTTTCCCCCACACTGGAGGTCCCCAGCCAGAGACAGGAGGACCACATGCTAAGTGTGTTGTATGGAGATTCCTTTAGAAGTGTGGGATGGATGAGAAGGCCGCCAAGCTCCCTTCCAGTTCTAAGTCTGATTCTGTGACTCCTGAACCCAGAGCTGCTAAGCGCCCCCTCCACTTGTTACCACGGGTGCATTTCCCAGCCCTAGAAAACTGAGAAACAGACGGAGTCTGCCACTGGATGGATACAAAGGGGAGTTCTGTTCAACATATGGGTCATGGTGCCCTTGCCTTCACTCATCACTAAGCAATTGCTGCTGCTGCTTTTACAAACAGGTTGACAACCTCATCTCCAGTCCCTAGCTAGGCAGGGGGACAGAAATCCATATCTGCAAAGATGGGCAATGAGGAAGCGTCTCTGGCTCCAAAGCATCACAGCAAATGTAATCCAGACCAGTCTCCCAAAGTCTCTCTGACCTAAGAGTACATCTCTCTGACCCTACAGCATAATGGGAATATGGCAGGTGCCCAAAGAGATCCCTCACACCAATAAGGGTGAAGGCAAAATCCTCCACTTTGGTTTGAAAAATCAAGTTCACAAGCTGAACATTGAGGGGAAGGAAAGAATATGGCTGAACATCATCAATTCATCTGAAAAAAAAAATCTGAGTTTTAGTGGTCTGCAAGTTCCGTGTGAATTAACAAATGAAGTACAACAGGGAATAGCTATGATACAGGGAAAAGAATTGCAGTGGAGGTACCCAGGAGTTCACAGGAGGCAGACCCCAAGAAAGGAGCAGTGACTTTAGATGTCCTCCCACAAATGCATAAACTGCAGCTGACATATTCGGTTAGAGCAACTCTAGCCCTGGAAAACTGTAACTACCCACAGCCAGGCCCATGCACATTAGCTGGTTTTGAGTATCTATATTCCATATACTTGAAATTTCACAGGGGAAGTCCCCAGTCCAAGTTACTTGGGAATTAGGGTGCCCTGCTGACCAACACCGTGGCTAGAGAAGATAGAGCAGAATGGTTTCTTTGTTTTACGCACAATGAAAGATTTTGTGCTAGTGATGTGGTCCTGGGCATCCCCATTAGAATCTAAAAGACAAACAACTCTGAGGTACCATATCATACTTATCAGATTGGCCAATATGACAAAACAGGAAAATGATCAATGTTGGAGAAGATGTGGGAAAATTAGAACACTAATGCATTGTTGGTGGAGTTGTGAAATGATTAACCATTTTGGAGAGCAATTTGGAACTATGCCCAAAGGACTATAAAAATGTGCATACCCTTTGACCCAGCAATAACACTTCTAGGGCTGTATCCCAAAGAGATCAAACAAATGGGAAAAGGATCCACATGTACAAAAATATTTGTAGTAGCTCTTTCTGTGGTGGCAAAGAATTGGAAATTGAGAGGATGCCCATCAGTTGGGGAATGGCTGAACAAGTTGTGGTATATGAGTGTCATGGAATACTCTTGTGCTATAAGAAATGACAAGCAGGCAGACTTCAGAAAAACCTGGAGAGGCTTGTATGGACTGATGCTGAGTGAAGTGGGCAGGAGAACATTATACACAGCAACAGTCATGTTGTGCGATGACTGACTTTAATAGACTTAGGTTTTCTCAGCAACGCAAGG